GGTTGACATGGTTGTTTGCTGTTTGTTCAGCATCGTGACCAGACTCAATCTCCTGGTGCCGACGCGGGATCTCGGCTTGAATGATCTCTTCCCTGAGCGATGGAGGGTCTTGTGTTTGATGTTGTACCGTTGCGTTGAGCGGGTCTACGGCATTAAAGACCACGACACTGTCTTCCGGCACTAAGAATGACTTGACGATATCGCTTTGGTCGACGACACAGCCTTTGTAACTAATGCGAACACCGATAAGATCATGCCGTTTCTCGTAAGTATCCTGAATCTTATTGATAGGAATTTTCTAGAAGCAGGTCAGCGGATGGGCATGGTACTGCATCGGCGCATTCGAGGTGTATTCCGCGCGCATTGACGCCGCCAAAAAAATCGTTATCCCGGAACAGGGAAGGGTATAGAGCTTACATTGTGGCCTATCATCCATAAGAAATCGGTTTCCTTGAAGTCATCCTGCGTAGACTTGCGGTGATCGAGCACACCAATCCAGCACCGGCGTGCTTTGAGCTCCTGTTGTGGCACAACACGCTTGGCGCGTCGATGGAAGTCGTCCCAGTCCATTGCTAGGTTATGCTTATGAGTGAGATGCTGCGGCAACGTATTGATGTATGCAGAAGCTGATTTGACGCGTTAGGCGGGAGCTACCCACGGGTGCATGCAACTTGCGAACTAGCGATGGCGGGGTTGGCGGGGTTTGCAGGATGGTGTGACTGAGAGCATTGAAGCATTGGCCAGCTGTTCGTCGCTAGTGCGTGTAACGGTGAATGAGGAGATTTGTGTTGGATGTGGCCAACGGTCCCTGAAGAGCAAACAGCGGGGCAAACGCGTCTGAACACGCTAAGACACGCCAGCACATGACGCCAAGCCTTTCGACGCGTCCCGATCTCGGTGCCGTCCTTTCGTCCGAAACTTCACTCTGTGATCATCATAACATCACAACATTCATCAGTCTTCAAAATCATTGCATTCTTTGAGCGCGGGCTTCGCTACTTCTAAAGTTCCTAGTATGCGCACGACGCTAATAGAGATTAATTCGATTGTTACCTCCACCTGCAGCTCGTTGCGATGACGCACTCCATTCACGACAAGAACGACAGTCTGTCACAAGTCTCATGCAGTAGCTCGAAGCTATTCGCAGCATTGTACCAACTGGATAGTTTCCCTGGACATGTTACGAAGATATGAAGGCGCCCCAGCCACCCACATGAGCTCGGAACGACAGCATTATTGTCCACGCATCTACCATAAAGCGCGCCAAATCTTTCAATACGTTTGAAAGAATAGCTTCCGGCTGGTTCAGGCACATGTGCTCACACGCAGAGCGGTCGTTATCACATTCACTTTTCGACTTACCTAAATGCCACTGTCCGAATTTTCTCCGAAGAATCGATGGATATCGCTGCACAATGCGTCCGATCACCACCCTGGTTCACAGTGGTTCAGATTCTTTTACGATGACTTTCCCATGCTCAACACAATGTTTCTCGAACTTCTAGGAACCAAGTGTTGTTTCTGCATTGTTCTAGTTTGGCCACCCTCCTTCCTAGCTGACAGGCATGTCGTTCATTTGACTCACCGCTTTGTCTCATTATGTCGTGGTTGACTCTCCACAATGGTCATGCCTCCAATATGTATACTTCATTGGATTATGACGAGTACAGGTGCGCAAAAACCCTTTCCATATTCGCAAACGATGACGGAACAGATGCCGCTGCGACAGAAACGTGTCGCCCCAGAAGCCAACCCTGGTATCAACGGATTGATCGCAGCATGCAATAAAAACGACAGATTCAAACTTCTAGAAGACGAAAGTGTTCTGCCTGGAGACTTGCGCAATCCAATCCATCCGACGTTGCGTTGGTTTGATAGTAACGGGCCTATGCAGCAGATGCTTCGGTTGGCATCACATTTTCTCAGCCATGACACCGTCCTCGCTTTCTTTGTACCGCTTCTATACGGACGCGACTTGATAGGCATAGTTAACGATGCAAAGAAGACTTACCTCTCAGACCCGCTCGCGAACGCGTCCGAAGAGAAACGCAGTCAATATCTGGCCGGAGTGCGTGAGGCTTTGCATTGCCTTGGGCACAGCGTTTCCTTCCACTTCCTACCGTCTGCGAAGCGAGTATACGCCCGTTCACTGCGGGACAATGCAAGTCCACACCATGTCGCGTCATGTTGCCCGGCATTCCAGCGCAAATTTTCTTGTAGGATCGAAATGGCGGACTGGTTGAGTAACTTTTATTCGACTGGTGAGTACGAAGCCGCGTCGCGATGTGCGCAGTTTCGGCACGATTTCCTTTTCGCTGCAACACTCGTACATGAGATTACCCATGCTGTGGGAATATTGCGACGGGGCAACACAAGGGAGCCGCACATCCGAGCTGACTGTCCAGAAGCTGAGTGGGGCTATGGCTGGGAACACTTCATGTTCGGCACCGTAATTAACCCTCAAGACTTGTCGGGACTAGGCACTCACCTTCTTATGCGTAAGATATGGGTAGATCGAAAGACGGCCAGCGAGACTGGAGGTAAGGAGTACTGCGATGTACCCATGTCTTACATAGCGCAATGGTTTCGGGACGACACATGGAGCATTGTAGCCAAGTATGGACCAACTGCCGTTGCGGCACCAATCGCTAATTTCAAGATACGGCTGTCGGACCAGCCTGGGGCCTGGGTAGTGTCAAGTGACCATCCAGAGATCGAGAGTGATCTGAGAACGCTTCAATCTCAATGGCGAAATCGCTCCTTGAGTCTAAGTCTACAAATAGGGTCGTCATCATCACCAGCTGCTCGTTCGCGTTTTGCCAAGATATTTTGGCACCGTGTAACTAAGGAACAGCTGCAGAAGAATAACGCGCCGGTTCCGCTACGCACTTCGATCATATCGCGGGCTGAGACAAGCCCCATGCCAAAGCTCACTCAGACCATACGAGCATGCTACAAGCCAACAAAGACACAGGCCCTTGCAGGATGCCGACCAGACTACTCTGATAGCTGCGATATGTCTCGAAAGCGGCGCGCAGAGCCACGAGACGAGTGCCGCCGCGTCAGCAAAGCAGTGAAGCGGTAAACTGTGGCTGCGACTTTAAAACCCCAGGACGAGCTTCAGAGGTCGTACTTATCCCACGGAAGTTGTAACATTAGAAACGATATAGCACAGTGTTGATACCGATTCCGGAACGAAGCAAGGATGCGGACTTACTGTCGCGCGCACACTCGCTGTGCGATCTCAACTACATAGCTACGTCATTCGCTATGTAGCATATGACGAAGTCTCAGCCAACACAGTAATTAGGTATCAGGCTAGCAAATCGTAGTAGTCACCTGTAACGTCTCACCGGTGTCTCTCACTTCTTGGACGCTTGTTCTTCATACCAATATAAGAGCCTCAGCCCCAGCTCCTAACGTGCATTGTCCGTAGTGAACTATTCGACCCAAAGCCAAGAACATCAGCGTTTGAGATGCCTGTTAATACGCCACTTCCCCTGCGGGAGGCATATCTTAATGACTTGATACCCGTCGCGATATGTTCCGCAGCAGATCCTTGCCACATTTGTTGGAATAGTTACACCAAAGATCACGAACCGGTTCTTCTGCGTCCTTGTGGGCACATCTTCGGTAAGCCATGCATACAGCAATGGTTCGAAGAAGGCGCAAACACATGTCCGTTCGATAGAAACAAGCTTTTCATGTCAACAACGGATGCGGAAGAGACCGAAAGCTGGTCACTTGTTCCGTTCGGCGCTTTACGAGACCAGGGCGGCAGAGATGCGCCACGAAGTGATAGAAGAGATGGAACAGCCGACAGAACGCATTCTGCACCGGAGCAGTATCTGTTCTTCGGTGGCGAGATCATTGGTATAAACAGTCGCCTAACACTCGAAGGCTGTCGTCGCGTCGTTCGCGATCTCTGGTATGTAAGCAACCATCTTTACCATCAGATTCGTAATCATGCCGATGATCACGACCCGCTATCCGTTAGCGAAGACACCCTCAGAGAGTCGATACATGATGCGTTGCCTCGCGGTATCGACGTAGATGACCACGCTTGGCCGCTACTTTTCAGCATGGCAAGAACTATGGTCACGTCGCGAGGAATGGCCTGGGAACAGGGCTCGGAGGCGAATCTGCGTAGGGAAGATATGATGGGCTGGGGAGAGGAGCTCTGGCGCGTGTGTGGGGGTTTTCAGAACCGAGATTACCTAGGTAGATAGAGATGCAGATAATGAGCTTCAGGCTGGCGAATATCCAGTGTGTTGATAGTGGCTAGTCATAGAATAGACGTCTGAGGGTTTCGCTTCTGAGGGTCTCATCTGCTCATGTGTTGAAAGTTCCAGGTTCGCGGGCACTCAGCGCGGCGGCGGGAAAGCTCGAACTAGGTAGCCAGGTACCAGCGGACCATCCCGAGATCTCTTTGCACTCAACGAAAATGCCTGAAGAGTCACATTTACAGTACACTGCATCGGGTACTGGACGTGTTGTGTCGGGTAATAAATGGCAAGTTCTTTGGCTCCCAAGGTGGTGACAGGTTTTGTGCCGTTCTGAAGTTTCCATCGAAGCTACGGAATTTCTAGAACACCACCACTGGGCACGGACTTCCACCCTCGCCGTCACCAACTCGCTCCCCACCTTTTGCTCTAAACTCTCCAGTTGCTCAAGATTCTCGAGTACTACCACCAAGTCACATACAGTAGTCGCCTGGGTCCGATCCAACGACGTCCACTTGCACTTTTCGCACTGCGCAGGCGCACACGTGGGCCCGACGCCGGCCGCTACCCGGTCAAAATCCTCACCGCTGGCTTCACTTGGGTCGCGCGACAATAGCAAGACTTGAATACTTACACCACTCGCACCTTATCTATTCAACTGTATTCACTCCACAGTCACCGTGGTCAGATAAGTCCGCAATAGCTCGGCTCCCACACACCCAACGCTGTTTCCTATCTTCCACCCAAACCAAAACAGCTTTCGTCAACACTACGACCATGGCGCCTACATACAGCATGCCATACAATCCCGCTGATTACGTCGCTTCCGAAGCACTACTTCCTGAGGAATTCTTCGGTTATGCCGACATCCCAACTCTAGTGAAGATTCACGAGGTTCTGTGCAATAGCGAAACACAGGATGACGTCGAGCTCGCTACATGGATACAGGAAAGATACCTCAGCGCCCCCAGAAACGCGTCGTTGACAGAACCGATGCGTACCGCACAGGAATTCAGCAGATTGGACAGGGCTTACCGTAGGGTGCGGTCTCTCAGTGGCAAAACCCAGGACAAATGGCCAATCCTCGACTTACATTTCAAGGAGATGTCATCAGCTATGGTTCGAAATAACGCGCGCGGTGAAGCCGCTCCCGGAGTCATGTTCCCAATTGACGGATTGCAGAAGAAAGCTTGTCTAGCTGGGCAGCCGCCCCACGGGTTTGTCACACCTGATGGTAAGTAAGCTCTCGCCCAATCCTGCCTGCAGATACTGACTTCTGCCATTACAGCCTCCGTAGGACCAGAACTCCAAGTGCCGTTTGGTACAACCAAGCCTAGCCGGTACCAACCATACGTGCAGACTTACCCACGTCCGACACAGCAGACTCCTGTACCACTTCCATCTAACGTTACTTCCAAATCGTCTGGAGAGCCGAGATTTGAGAGTCAGAACGTATCTTCCCATCGGTCTCAAAATTCTGCAGCTTCTTCACAGAGCAACCAGCAGGAGACACGTAAGTTACCACCGCCTGTTTTACCCAACCTTACTTGATTACCTCACTCCACCCCACATCTCACGGCTCACTTTCGTTTCCGCTTCCTTCATTATGCTGACAAAAAACGCTAGATCTCGCCTCAAAATCGGATAGTCATGCAATGTCTCAGACCGAGCCACCCCCATCAGGCTTGCCTAAAACCGAGGAAGCTCTTGGCCAGACCTCACCTAACGACAAGAGTGGCGCTCTTCTATCAAATCCCATAGGCGGTACCGTATCGCGCAACATCAGCTCCAACCCCAGTGAGGATTTGCAGGCAGAGTCGGAAGTACGAGATGCGGGCGCGGGTAAGGTTCGCGGCCCAAATGGACGCTACCTACCCAAGGACGATGTCGAGCCCGAGACCAAAAAAGCTAAGAAGCCGAAGAAGGCAGTCAAGCCCCGTACGGGCTTGAGAAATATGAAGAAACAGGAATCACCTGCACTAAACACAGTCGGCGAAAAAACCGAGACTGCACCAGCCCAAGATGAAGATCTGATGGCAGATGTCCAGCCGCCTTCGCCTCCAGTGTCTAGCCAGAAGGCTGAGGAGATGAATGGAGTGGAAGATGTCACATCTGTCAATCCAGCTTCTGACATCGTCGTACCATCCACGACTGATCTGGCTACATCCCCTACAGCCGTAAACGAGCAAGAGGCCGAGATGGAGGAGGAAGTAGCGTCTGGCTCGGGATCTGCCTCTGCGTATCTTCTTGCAGCTGCGGCTGATCCAGTACCGTCAAACTTGGACAAGCTACCTCCTAACTCTAGGAAGTCCATCAAAAGGAAAAGTGAGCCAACTGCCACGTCTGGAGACCGTAAGCGGGGTAAACACGGCGGGATAGTCGGCCGCCCAAGGAAGTCCGAGCAGCAAGAAAGCGACACATCAGATCAAGCGCCAGTTCAGCAAGAAGACGAGAACGTCACAAGGACAGAAGATCCACCTCAGATGGTAACGCGTCGAGCCACCCGACGCTCTGCAGCCGCAAACCTGAACGCTTCCGAAACCAACAAACCAGATGCGACGTCAACGGCAAACTCTCCTATAAAGGCACCAGTCGACCAGCCGCTCTCAACTTCGAAGAAGCCATCGAAATCCAAACGAAACCCAAGAAAATCATCCGCTCCTGACGAAGACGAGGTTATGAGTGGGACCGAAGATCGCGAAACGGCTAGTCGTGAGGAAACTCTTAAGCCTACTCCCATTGTTAGAGAAGCCAGCTCTACGCCTTCCTATGCTTTGGGAAGCGTTGCGCCCTCGCAGCTTCCGGATAATCATTTCTTGAGCATCGGTATTAGCAGAACCAGCTCCCCCGCCCTTCATCCTCAGCCGTCTTCGCACCAGCCCTATCAATCACCTTACCAGGCGGTGCCGCCAACGCCACCACCTACAGTTGTTGCAAAAAGGCCCCTCGTTAACGGTACAACATCTACTTATCCGCCAGGTCACGTGGAATATTTCGCTCGCATCACTACAAGCAACGGCAGTACAATGGACTTACCGATCGAAGAGAGCCAAATCGAGAGAAAAGAGATGGAGACGATCAAGAGATATGCCGAGTATAACGCTGTACCCAACGCGGTGCCAGTATTGTATCCTCAGTTCCGGCAGATCTGGGCTTTTGCGAAACAGGGTTGATACGGAGAAGGGACACTACGGAAGTCTTCAGGCTGTACTGAACGCAGTGATTGTACGGATAGCATAGGCTTGAAACTATTACAATAAAAATGATCATCATTGATTCTCATGATATCCAATTTTCCTCATTCCCGGACTTCAATGGTGTCTCTCCTCTCTCTTAACCACTTTCCTGCCCCTGCCATCAGCGTCTCCTCCTCTGCGGGCCCCTCCTATCGTACGGCTCAAACCTTCCATACCTTCCACCGCCGGTATAACTCCAACCACTGTCGCCACTGCCATGGAGTTGATTGTATCGTGTCTCGCCGCGACGGGCTCCGGGCTGGTGCGAATACATGCGGTCGGGGTAAAAGCCGCCACCGTTGTTTGCGTCTTGAAGCGAATTCTGGTAGGGGTAGTACGAGCGGCCGCCTGGAAACATGATGTTGAGCGGGTTTTGGCGGATATGTGTGTGGTTTTTGGTGCTTAGACGTTTAGGGCTGGCTGCGGCTGCTTTGTGTTTCAAGTGGAAGCTGAAAAGTACTAGTAATTGTTCTGTTAGATGCTGCTGTGCTTGGTATGATGGATAAGAGAAAGGAGAGGCAGAACCTCGGGGATTTATATACGAGGACTGGATTGATGAATAGTTGACTGCGACAGCCAGACATGGACTCGATGCGTATTCGGTGAGACTTGATGTCTGGTGCGTGAGTTGGCACAGATGTTGCCGAAAGTCTACAAGGCCACATATTGTATAAAGTGATCGTAGGAATTTTGGTCGCTGTCCCGATGTTATTGAATTCAGCGACATCCGTAATGCCACCTCTCTTCACCTCGCACTCCCTGACAGTGCCTCAAGCTGACACCCAGCCCCTGCCACGTCTTGTCCTGGTAGACGTATGCTTAAATATACCCCCGAGTCGTGATGCACTGTAACAGGCTTTCGTGTCGATGGGCCGTTGGTGTGGAATGATTATCGCGGCAAACTGATTCGAAGAGACGCGCCGCTATGGCAAACGGTATTTGGGTAACTGATGTGGTGCGACAGCCCCTCCAGTGTGGTCACTCTCGATAGACTCAATACTGTCCATGCGAAGCAGAGAATTGCATCGGATTCTATGCTCAATGGCCCGTTGTCGAAACGTCTCGGAGCCTCGAAATTCCTCAAGCTGGCAATTGTTCGCCGACGCGTCGCCTACGTCATCGCTGAGCGCACCACGCGTCGAATCCGTTAGCCTAGAGGCCACCAGCCACCACAATTCCCTCAGCATGTCAAACACTAGACAATGTCAATAGATTGCATGCGCGTCTTCGACATTTCCGCTCCCCAGTTGCAAATCATGATTATCGCAACAGAGTGTCTAGAAACCGAGTCCAATGACGATAATCTGCAGGTCCGAGGTCTGCAGCTCCATGCCCCCTGGTAGGGCTCTTGGGGCAGGCGGGAGACGGCAAGCGTACCGAAACGGAGGACATCCGTACGAGCATGCCAATCAACGCATCGATCGTGCGCATATTGAGCCATGCTCACGAATAGCTTCGCTTATCGTGAACTTCTGCAAGATGCTGACATGCAGCGAGAATTTTCAACGGCGTGCAACCTTAGGCTTTGTGCCACGGTCGACATCAGCCTCAAGCGACGGTGACACCTCTCCCGACCGCTCACACGTTTCCGAGCACGAACAACAGTCAAAATGAGACGTCCGGGGATCTTGTTGGCGCTTGCGCTCCTTGTCGCTGGGTCGGGCGCTGAGCCGATACCGCGGGCTGTGAAAGCACCCAGGGTTGATCTGGGCTACGCTGTCTATGAGGGGAGTTATGATGCCAATACCAGCATCAATATCTTCAAAAGGTAATTCTCCGTCTGAGATCTCCCTACTTCTCCAAGAGTTGACCTAGCGCTACAGTGTTCGATATGCAGCGCCACCACTCGGCAACCTCAGATTTGCGGCTCCTCAAGCCCCTGTGCGGAATAGAACGACAGCATCAGCTTTGAGCGATCCCCCAGCTTGTCCGCAAACTGGCGCCTCTTCACAGACACCCGCGGCTTACGGCTTCACCTCCGCGATCGGGAACGAGGATTGCTTGTTCTTGAACGTCTACGCGCCGGTTCACGCGAAGAACCTGCCTGTCTTCTTCTGGGTTCGTGAGTCACTTTCCAAGCAATACAAAAAACGTAGTGGATGTCGCTAACAGGATCAAGATGGTGGAGGGTACGGGCTATTCAGCGCCTCTGGGCTAGACCCCAGCGAATTTATGGCCACCAACAAGAATGGCTTCATTAGCGTCATAATTCAGTACCGCCTAGGCGCTTTCGGGTTTCTCTCGAGTCCAAAGGTGAAGCAGCATGGTGCGCTTAACGCTGGGCTCCTTGACATGAACTTCGCATTGAAGTGGGTACAAGCTAACATCGCCAAGTTTGGGGGCGATCCTAGCAAGGTCACTATTGCAGGCGAGAGTGCAGGAGCAGGCGCTGTTCTCTATCAATCACAAGCCTACGGTGGGCGGCAGAAAGAAGACCTCTTCCGTAATGTTATCACAGCGAGTCCATGGGTACCCTATCAGCACGATTATGACGATGAACAACCCGCAGAAGCCTATGCGGCGTTCCTTGAAGCATCCGGCTGCTCAACAACGAACGAAAGTATGGATTGCCTCCGCGCAGCGGATACCATCGTTCTCCAGAATGCCAGCGCCAGGGTTTCGGAAGCTGGCCCTTTCGGTACCTTCGCTTTCTTGCCAGTAACAGACGGTACATTTGTTCAGGACCGCCTGTCCACAACCCTTACTTCAAAGTCGCTAAAGGGAAGGCGTGTCTTATCGGGTAACATGGCAAACGAAGGCGTGCCACTTTCGCCTCCTACCGCGCGCACGCTGCAGGATTTCCGAGACTACATTGATCTGACATTTCCCGACTTCTCTACATCTGAGAAAGCCCGACTGGAACAAACATACTCATTTCCTGGGGATGACCTCGACGTGAAGCCCAATGCTACGCGCTTTGTTACATCTGGTACTGGTCTACCCACGGCACTCAACATGAGTGAATTTGGGACAGGAAATCAACAACGTCTCTTGAATGTTTTTGCAGAGTACGCCTTCGTCTGTCCCAGCTACTGGGCTGCTGGAGCTTTTACAGAGGGCTGGAAGTATCAGTTTAGTGCGCCTCCAAGTTATCATGGCTATGATCTGCAAGCGCTATGGAGCGGAACTTCAACGCCCGGCAAAAGCTTCAAGCACGCTTTCCGTAGAATTTGGGGCAATTTCATCACAAAGAACTCGCCGGTGATAAGCTTGGAAGACGCGAAGGGTGGTGTCGCAAACTCGACGATCCCGCCTGCGGTTGGGTATGGTTCGAGTGACATTTCTTGGCCAAAGTGGAACGAAAACCAGCCGGTACTACTGAATATGAACGCTACAGGCGGCATCCCTTCTTTCGTGCAAGCGACAGACGACCTTTACTACTACGTTTATAGCGATCCGGGCGTCAGCAACCAAATCAGTTTGACCGATGCAAATGCATGGGAGGGTGGAAGGGGCGGACGATGTGAGTTTTGGAAAGCTATGGCGAGCAAAGTACCATATTGACAGGTGGAGATGTGTATGGGCTTGAATGTCTGAGGAATGATGATCGTGAACTACGCTATATCGCAACTACAATCCCAGTCGCTTGTCCATCGCGGCCAAAGATATACCCAAGATTGACCCGCTTACACACCGTCGTTGAACTCGTAGTCTTTGTCCCATCGCTATGCTGGTCAACAACATGTACATTGATGTCTACATTGTACTTACAGTGTCCCATGGCTTGCTGCCATCGACAAATCTCAGATCAGTACCAACTCTAATCACGTTATTTGGATCGTGATTCAATGTGGATGCGTGTATCTGACTACTTTTAGCCAAGATATACATCAGCTCAAATTCAAGGGTACCTACCGCAAACGGGTTGTGGAGGACTACGTCGCCCGCTTCGTAGTTCGTCACCAACCAACGCCTGTCAAAGGTGTCAGAATACTCTCGTGGACCGTCAGCGAGCAGCCCCGTTGATAGCATGTTCTGGTTGAAAGCGTTCTTCGTTTCTTCGTCGCTCAATCCACTTTCCGCTGCCTTTCGGTTGAAGTCTCCCTCTACCTCACGGCCAAGCGTATGACCTACCAAACTCGTTAATATTACTCAATCATTCATCGTCGACGAGAAGACTCACCATTTTCCAAATAGATCAAGCCTCCTCCAGTCAAGCTTACATCGCCCATAGGTACCCAGGCAGTGACACTCGTCGGCTCGCCATGCCGGAGGAAGATCTGATCATAATGTACGCCGATGGCCTTGTTTCCTGGTGTATTGTTGCGCAATAAGCTTCTACGGACCCCTATAGTGTTGTCGCCCCAGTTTGTCATCCGGGCAATAAAGTCTTTCAGCGCAGGGTGCTTGCAAAACGCCTCTTTGTACCAATCTGCATAGTGCGCTTCGAGCGCCAGACTAACGAACTTCTCCGCTGTCGCTTCTCCCGGCTTTCCATTTCCAGGGGCCGCACCAGCGCCAATACCAGGGAAGTCTGCCGCGTCCTTCTCAGGATCGAATATGCCATCCACTGGCTGGGTTCCAGGTTTCAACACGCCGCTCGGTGCGAGCGACTTGAAGTACTCTTCGCGGGCTTTGAGGACATCGTTCCTTGGTAGTAACCCCTTGAGGAAGACATATCCATCTTCGTTGTAACGCCGACGCAGCTCTTCCATGGGCATTTCTGGAGACGACTCCTTCAATTTCCCGACTTGATCTGGTCGGAGCAACCCGTCGTTCACGAAGAGTTTCTTGCCATCTAAGCTCGGCACGTCTTGCTCTGGTGATAGTGCATGGGGCATAATGAAGGATGTGATGAAGTAGCAATCGGCTTCGAAATGTCTGCACAGGGAGAGACAATATCTAGATGTCCAGCGTTTTGTCAAAATCTTCCGGCAACGTAAACGTGGTGTAAACCTATCGCCACTGCCATATCTGTACACGACAGACGAGTGTGCCGGGGAGACTTACCTCTTTCGTCCCTGCCAAGATGTGGGGTAGAAAGCGGGGCTAGTCGCCGCTGTGACACGCTATCTGGATTTTCCGAAGCCGCGGACGCGATCGTCAAAGCCCGTTCTTAGTAACCGGCGAAACATGGTTGGGCACGACTCTGCTCATCTCGGCGGGCATTCCTCGTCCTGGACCCCTTTGTGCATCGTTATCGCGCGTGTCCCAGCTTCGTAAATTAGCCCGCACACGCATCCTTCGCGATTCCACGACCACGTTAAGGTTTATCGCAAATGCCATGGTACGAGACTTCGCATCCTTTGCGCATGACCTGGACATCGCTTAACCGTTCGTAGCAATCGATGCCGCACGCGTCATTATCGATGTAAGCTTTGAGCCTTGAGCTAGTGGTGCCGGCATACTGATGACGTTGCAATAGGTGATGGCAAGCAGCCGGCATGTGCAAGGTGTGCGCAGGCGAAGAAAGAATGCGTCTACGAAAGCGGTAGACGGTTCCGGCGGTCGTCAATCTCGGATTCGTTTAGTGTTGAACAACCTTGGGTGTCGTACCCTCCGCGAAGTGAGCACTTACCCGAGGCTGTTGCATCTGTCGCTGACACGAGTTGGCAGTCCAATTCTTGGACGAATCGAGCGAGATTCGCTCTCAATATGTACAGGATGGCTACTCTCCGTTCGACAGCCCTTCAGTTCATGCGCCATCACCCAGCTGCACCCCTGGAAGTGCGCCGGGTACTGCTTTGACTCCAAACTCAACCTTGTTCACCCCTACGGAAAACCTCACAGTTCTGTCTTTACTGAACTCAGAATCTCCTGTGCAACACCAAGCACCTGCGCCTCCAGCATTACACGGCCACCGAGCAAACACGAGCACGTACCAGCCACATCAGGAAGAGGGAGTTAGTACCTTTGTGTATCAACAGCCTCCCGGTGAACCTGTGCTATGGCCGTTAGAGCATGAGCAAGAGGCAATGCTGCTGCAGCACTACATCGAGAATGTCGCCTTATTCGTGAGTACCTTCATCCAGAGAAAGGGCCTTTTATTGACGAACATAAGTTCGACATGGTCGACACCAGAGATCACTTTGGGGTTCACATCGTCCAGATGGCCAAGCAGAATAGTACCCTGATGTATGTAGTGTGTCTACTGCGGATATACGTTGGCAATCGACTGACCACCAATCTCATCCAGGAACGCCATTCTTGCGCTATCTGCTCGTCAGCTTAGTCGCACCACCGATTTCGACCCTTACATCGCAGATGCCTATTATCAGCGATGCTTTGACACGCTGATTCCAGCACTGAACGACAACGTCACCATCAAAGAAGAGCCATTACTTGCTGCGACCGTCATCCTGCGACTCTTGGAAGAGATGAACATTTCAATTATCGGCTCCGATCCCCAAGGCCATCTGTTCGGCACCCAAGCTATAATTCGCGCTGCTGAACAGTCATACGCTGCAACGTCTGGCCCTGATCGGCGGCAGGCTATCTACTGGGCTGCTTTCCGTCAGGAACTGTGGATCTCACTCATGACGCAACGCGCGTTCAAGTTACACATCTTCCCCGCTGATCGCTCACTCGAGCCGGCTAATGACTCTATTTGGGCTACACGAACGATTGCTCACCTCGGCGACGTGAGCAACTTCGTCTTTGGGGAAGGTAGAAACAGCATTGCTCGCTACAACCAACTGATGGATGAGAACAGATCCTGGACACAGTGTAGGCCTGACAGCTTCGACCCATACTATTTCCGTCAAGATCGAGATGGTAGCGGGAGAAACTTCCCGGACATTCGCTTCCACCAAAAGACCCACGTTATGGGCACCCAGTATAACCTCTTAGCTCATATGCTGCTGATTGTACATGATCCGACGATTCCACAACTCGGACCAGCACACAAAGCATCACGCGCTATTGTGGATAGAACCGTGCAAGACAACGTCCGCACACTATGCGGAGTGGCCCAATCGAACTCCAAATGGTTTCCTTGCAAGTTTGTTGCCTGCTTCGCGATCGCATTAGGTAAGTTCGTTCCGATCCCATTACGCGACTATGACGAGAAGTAGTCGCGTGTAACATTTATATTGCTTCTATATCTAACATTTCCAGTCGGCGATCGCTTCACGATTCGTGAGGATCAAGAACAGCTTCGCGATCTATGGTATGCCTGTGAACGATCGCATGGCTTTCCTCCCACAGCGACCATCAACCAACTCGAAGAGTCGTGGGGTTGGCACAACTCCTGAAATACATGATGCGGCTATCTCCGATGGCTCCAGCTACCTCATCATGCCTCTGAACTCATCATAAACCCTGGTTGAATGCATTCATGCGCCTCGGGTCGAAATTACCGGGCATATAAGGACCAAATCCCATTCCTGAGTTGATCTGGTCCAGCTCATCTTCATCGAATCCCGCTCCATAGAACGGCATCGGGTTGCCATGGTCACCTCCATGTCCGGGACGAGCCGGGCCCTCCCACTTCGTGAAATGATGCTTTGGTCTGCGATGTTCCGCTGGCGGCTTCCCTTTGTCGTGCTCTTCGGCTAGATCGTAGACTCTATGCAGTCGTTTGTCGACAGGAAGTCGTTCCCTGATTCTCCCATATTCAGCCTTGATGTTCATCAACAGGGGATATATGCGCACCCGCTCTACAAAGTCTTGCTCTAGAGCTTTCTTCAGTATGCTACTGAGTTCTCTGGTATAGCTGGAGCCTGCCGGTTGTTCTTTGTCCCATCTTTGACCATGGGGGAACTCTTTGCTTCGCGGGCCTACGATTCCGGTACATGCGCAGACCATACTCAAGCCTAGTTGCCAGACATCTGAAGCGCCGCTGAAGAGTGGAAATTCTGGAGCGTCGAACCCAGGCGTCCCCCCTGGTTCCATTATAGCGCGTTCTATACTACGCTCAAGCGACAGATAGTCTTCAGTTACTGCTAATCCAAAGTCGGCAAGCTTCGCTATAACTGTATCACCTTCCATCGTCAGTAGGATGTTCGCAGGCTTGATGTCGCGATGATATATTTTACTCCAACCGGACTGGAATATCTCGTCATCGGTCATCATTGGCTGCGGGCCACGGTGACAGTACGTAAGGGCAGAAGACAGTTCAAAGAACCATCTCCATATCTTATGTTCGTTGACGTGGGCGCCCATAGCAACATTGAGCGCGACGTCTGCCAGGTTACCTACCGTACAATACTCCAGATACACAGCTCCGTCTGGTTTGCGCTTATTGAAAAAGTGGTCCACCATCTTAGTAATGTTCTCGTGGTCCTGGACCTGGTGCAAAATCTGGATTTCTTTGCGCGGTACATCGTTCTCGAACGCGTCTTTATTGAAGCGCTTCTCAATGAATACCATACCCCGAGCTTTTGGATTACTACATTGGACTTTGCTTATGCCGCCGTTCAGACCTCCGCCCATGCTACCAAGCTTCTGGATTACTGTCCATTTTTCTCTCGGTTTTGGTTGATAGGTTACGGATAGCTTCTTGCAAATTTTGGGCATCGCAGTCCCAGGATACCGCCGTTAGTGTTGAATATTTAGGAGTGTGGTTAACGTTGTGGAAGATGGCAAAATGCAGGTTCAACGGACTCATTCTCTTGTTTGAGTAGCCTGCGATCGGTCTCAGCGATTGTTTTTATCACGACATCCTTTCCATTGTTGTGTTAAAGGCGCAAAGTGCTATATCACGCTTTTGTGATGCGTAAATTGACCAGGATGCAATGCGCGTCTCGTGGTTCATACTTGTCTCGCCGATGACTCTCCATGTGACGTGGTATCTTCAAGCATAGCAAACCTTTCTGCTTCAAATAGTGAGAGGAATCACGTACTTCTAGTCACAAAGTCAGCAAGACCATCATCATCATCATCTCGTAACAACTTTACCGCAACATCTCATCGAATGTCACGGAATCTAAGATCTCGTGGGCGTGGTCGAGGGAAAGAACCCATCACAGATGACCCAATGGATCTTGATTACTCGCCAGACGATGTGGAGATGCAGGACCCGCCGCCAGAGGCTCTGTCGCGCCTCAGACCTCGAAAGCCTCCATCTTCGCAAGCTGTGACTACGGAAGAGTCGCCATTCTGGACAGACCCTTCACACAGAACGCCCTTGCCCAAAAGCTCGCCCCCTCCAGCGCCTCCAAGATTGAAGCAACCTATGACATTAAAATTTCGGAATGATCATGTTGGCCAGCCTCCCGGTTTTGTTCGTGGAACAGCTCCTCTTGTGCGCGAGACTGGCGAGGAACGCTGGAAAAATGGTGTACTAAGCGGCAGCGCACTGATCCGGATGCTGGAAGATCTATCACGCAGCACCAAACGCGAACACTGGCAGGTCTGTGCCTTGCTAGATGGCTTCGCCGCAAAGTTTGGTCGCTTCCACACCCCGGATGGTCTCATAGTGGCGGATGCATATGAGACGTACATGCTCATGCTCGCACGTAAAGTTTGGGTTGATCACACAGGCGAATTTGCTGGGGGAGATGTTCTCTGGGTACCCGGACTAGAACCTAGAGCCATCACCGATCCGGACTGGGAAGCCAGCGCAAGGCAAAATTTACCGGAGTTACCTATCAAACATTACCAGCCGCCTTGGTTGGCGGCGGAGAATCAGTACATGCACCGCGTTATGCAACGGCCACAAAAGGGGGAGATTGTCTACAAGGGCTGGGTTGATGACATGAAATGGGAAAGAGATATCCGAGAGGGTGAGAAAATTGATCAAGGCACGCCCAGCGACGACCCTGTTGTTTCCACATCAAATACAGAATGAAGGGTAGCAGGCGTCAATACTTCCAGGGGTCAGTAGCAGGCCGTTCTGTTTTGGCCAAGGCAGCAATCAGTTGAAGGTACACCAATAACGAGAATGATTTAGGTAGTCGTAGAAATGTGACTTTACAACACGTAGTCAACGGTGAATGTGAACAGCTACATCGATCAATACCTGGGTGGTCGCGCGGAAGAGACACGCGATCATGACGTCATCATTCTGGAGTTGCACTAGGCTTCTTAGGGATGAACATCAACGAAATGCTCTACACTTCTGCACAGCAGCTCAGTCCACTCCGCCTTGCACAGGTGTTGTAGTTACCGCAAGACTGGTGAGGAGATGAGAAGAAAAGTCATGCGCTCTCGCTCACAGATCTAGCGCAAGGTGTCCAGCGTGGGCACACAGCAATCTTGGGAAGGGCCGCCGAGATCCCGACCGGAAAACGAGCATCAACTCAACGCGAAAGTCAAATACTGCACCTGCAGTAGGAGTATCATCGGCTGCATGACTTCAGTCCATCGATTACGCGAAGACAGCCGTCTTCGCTGGCCTGTATGCGACCTCCAGTCAGCTGCACCTGCACCTGCATCTGCGAGCTCACCGTTCTTCCAGACCCCCCGAACCATTACCCCTCCCCATCCTCTTTGTTCTACAACGACGCATTGTGATCACCGCTGCAGCGTAAAACTATCAACTTGCTAATTCCTTCATCTCCCCCCTTATGCATCATCTGCTATTTTCAAACATTTGTTGATCGTTCCGGCCCGCGTGCATCTGACGTGCGTTTGCACAGCCTCAATTCCGGGTTGGCGGGCATAGTAAACCACGACTCTTGGTAGCGGCGACAGCGACCGTGCCTCTGTTCCGCGTAACGTTGCGCTTAGGCTTGCACATGCTCATGCAGCGGAATGGTCGTTCGGCGCAGAAGCGGGAGTGTTACCTAAAAAGGGAATGGCGAGAGAGTCGCGGTGATAGTGTGGTGCTTTGCCTACAGCAAGACATGGTGTGTAGTATTGCCACTTGGACACTCACTGGCTATACTGTACTTTTCGGTGATTAGAACCTCATTGATACATTATGCAGTCGAAAGTGCTGGGTCGAGATCTTGGCCCGCTGGGTATGCTACAGCATACAACGTGCGCATGATAAGCTTTTCCGCCCCCAAACTCCCCGCATCTACTTTGCTCTCCTTCGAGACTTACGTGCATTTTAGTGGGTCCTTAGGTACTTTTGTGTTACCATTAACGTGGTTAGTGATGTGTAGACTGGTCAGTTGACTACGCGCAGTTGTAGAAGTGTACCATACATGATCTCCACGCCTTCGTCTTCTCACAGCATGCGGAACCTAGTACTGTGGCGGTACCTAGATAAGCCCCAAAAACGTGGCATGGAAAGGGTGTGACTCAGAACTTCAATGATTGGCCAGCCTTCATAAGTACGTATTACCTACCATGTTCATGCCGCTCTCTTGTCATGCGGGATCACGACTGGTCAGGTACATCACGCAGTCAATTTTTCGATCCGCATGAGGCTGTTCGCAAGGCATATTTCCATATCTTTGTCACATCTCACATAGCTGTCCGGATCTCTACTAGATAATGTCCAATTTGCCTACAGCGAAGTGACAACGTCGAACATTTTACGCGTGAAGGGATGTGCTATGGGTGACTGCTCAATTCAATTTAGGTGTGCTAGCGCGATACCCGCCCGGAGACACCTGTCCGAAAATGTTGACCATGTTCCCTATCGTGACTATCAGCAACACCAGTATTCACTTTCGAAATTGCATCCATGCAAAATACTCTTTCGTACGCATGATATCAATCAATGTAGGGGCCGAATTCCCTTTCCGGTAAAAATCTGACCCTTAAAAGTTCTATTGGCGTAACACCAATGTAGGCAATACATATAATCGAACGATAGACCGGCCCGGGACAGGCGATGGCGGGGGCGGTGCCGCAACGCTGCATCATCCCCATGACTGCAGCAGTCATGCGTATATGGTTTACTTCGATATCAATATGTGTTGAGAAACACGGATGGATGTATTAGAATTAGGTATCATGAACGATGGACCGGAGCTGAATGCAGCCTAGATATCGCTTGGCCCATCGAAAAGCCGGCCATGCGGAGTAGTGAGTCCAGGTTTGGGTCTGAAGCCTACATCTCACATGCCTTCGCGAAGGCTGACGAGATTAACATTCGCATGCGGAAGGAACGTGGACTTTGATATTATGCAATATGTTTGGTTTGATTTGTTCGGGTGACCTCTTTCTCGATCGTCGTATTCATCTTCGCGTACCCCTCCACCTCGCTTCTAGTTCGCGAGCTCTTGCTGACGCCTCTTGTCTCTTTTTCGCTGCCATTTCCGCCTGGCTTTGTTGATAGTCCGGAAGTTCATCATCGGATCCTTGAGGATCATTCAGCCCCAGCAGGTTCAATTCCGCTGTAACGGCGTCCAAGTGCGATGGTGGCTGCCATTGCTGATAAGCATCGAGAGGTGGATTGGGCACCGACATCGTGTGGTTCAGTGCAGGTGCTGCTCGTGACGAGATAAGCGGCGGTGGCTCAAAATTCTGCCAGTCATCCCTCTGTTCCCTTGCAGGCCGCCGTGTTGGTAGGGTCCTCGACGAATGCTGAGGATGTTGAAGAGGGATTGGGATAGTGTCATTAGTGTTTCTTCGGGCGAAAAGTGAACCTCGAAGTTGCGGTGGGCCGGTTGGTGAAAAGGACTCGTTGTCGTTTGGCAGACCTGTCATAGCCTCTGCGAAAAGATGAAATTGAGACACGTCAGTGAAAGCCTCGGTGGGAGAGCCCCATGTTGTGTGAGGTCGTGGCCGACTGGAGGCGTTGTCGCGGGCCGTAACGCCGAGCGTAGATTCGGGGAAAGTGCGCGATCGTGGTGTTGATGCTGTCTCGAAGTAAGGATTCATAGAAACAGCACGTTGTTGTAGAGGCCGGGAGGACTGCTGTTCTGGTGGCAGCGAGTACGGTTGGTACTGCACGGCGTCTGAGTGATTTGAGGCTGAAGAATGCGCTCGAGGAAAGGTCGCTGGGTCCTGATAAGTAGATTGACCGAACCCGTAGGGAGAGTTCGGCATGCTTCTGGAGTAAGTATGGCGGTGCTGGCTGTTTGTGTCTACGTTCAGGCTGGTCGAGTGCCGTTTTGGTTGATAAGGTTCAGGTCGGAGATGGGTTGACTCCGGTTGCTCTGAAGATTCGCGTCGGAGAAACCCTCGCAACAAGGTTGGCTTGTGAGATCGCTTCTCTGAACCGGATGGCGATGGTGGTAGTGGCTTGTTAAGATTCGAGCCGCTCGTAGGGCATACACTGATCCGCTGCGAGGTTGCTTTGTAGGCGGATGGCTCTGATCGACGGCCATGCTCTTGTTGTTGTGCAGAAGAGGCAGGCATATTTAGCCACAGCTCATTCTCAGTCTGCAAGCGGCTGGAACGGTGATTATGTTGTGCCATGTATTCCTCGTCTTCGTTGTGCGTCGAGCCGCCCTGGAGGTGGAGGATAAGTCGATTGGAGGATAGAACTAGCTTGCTTGTAGACGAGATGTCGTCAAGCTTATAGTTAGACGATGCGGTCGGGATCGTCAGCAGCTGGGCGCCGGGTAGCATCCTAAAGAGAGCTGCTCCGTATGCAGATGTGTCCAAGGCTGAACGCAGGGATGCGCAGACCAGGCCTAAGAGCTTGGTGTTGAATGTGGAGGTGAGGTGCGGCT